TCATGCTGATTTTGAGAGCCCTGAAAGGGCCACTGGGAGATTGAAAGGCCAGCAGAGTTGACAATGATTTGATATTAAAAAGATTATACATAATTATTGATTCAAAGGAAAAAGAAAAAAAAAGAAAACATGGACCTGTTTCTGAAAAGTAATTTCATAACATAATTATTTTAATTTAGGAGGTAGAAATGGCTGTTAGCTGCAAAATGACTTTCTTCTAAAGGTGCTTTAGCAGCAGAAAAAGCAGATTCTCTTTTTGAGAAGCAGAAAAATTACAGAGGATATGTCATGTGTTTTATGACTCCTTGGCACGTGAATTTGAAGGTGTGCTAAAATCTTTTGTATTATCAGCATCCTAGGGATGAAACATGTTTGTAGGAAGAAGGCTATTTCAGTTGAGCCTACTATATTAATGCAGTTAAGTAAATAAACTGATTTCTTCTTTCAATTATCCTTTTAATTGTCATTTCTCTACCTCATTGCTAAGTATGAGAAGAATGAAATCTTACATTAATCTTCTTGTACACTCAAACACTTCTTGAACTAATTTATATTCAGGTTCCTGTTTAGTTCTTTTATCACAACTCCAAATGTTATTATAGTTTAAGTTTATATTGCTTCAGTCAGTAAAATTTCCAATAGAATTGTGCTGCTGTTACAAAAGTCTCGAAAGAGTTGAATACTGAAGTCAGAAAAGACTGCATGGCTGTTGTTGCTAGAAATACAATAGAATTATAGAACAGATGGGCCTTTTGGGGATCCTAAATTATGCTGAGCAAAACTAGCCAACTGCTTTAATAAAAGCTTTTCTACAAGAAGTATGTTGGAAAAGTTTATTTTATCTCTGTTCCCTTTGCTCAGGGTGCCTTATCTCTGTTTCTAAAATGTACAGTTAAAGTTCTTTTGCACTATGCCTCAAGACAGAAAAGAACTACACCCAGGAAGGATAACATTTTGTTAAATAGTCTGTCAAAGAATAAATATTTTAGAGTTTTTTGTGATCAGCACTTAAGAACATTTTTATAGCATTTAACATTGTTATTTTGGAACAAAATAGTACTTACTAGAAGCGTGTTTACAATTGCTTACTGCTTTCTTATTGTCACTTTTTCATAACTATTTTATAATTCATTTATGGTCCAAGACCAATCACACACAAGAGACCATCCAATACAATAACACTAAAAGGAAAATATAAAATTATGAGAAAATTCTAAAAGAGGAGCTATTAATAACATGAGGAGGGAACCAGACAGTGTCTAACAACTATAGTTATTGATAAGCATTTTGCCACCTATGTAGAAGTGGAAATATTAAATTTGATCGCCATTGGGTGTACAATGAACACTTTAAAAGCACTTGTGAGATAGATTCTATCTTTGTCAAGTCTGAACACATGTTTTGCGTTTATATGGGAGACTTATATATCTGCTAGTTGTTGTTCTAATAGGCTATGAATGAACATAAATAGTCTCTGATGTGGAGGATATAAAATATTAAATAAGTATCTAGGGACAATCCAGGGAGAAGTAACAATCATACTATAAAAGGATGGGAAGCTTCGGCTCTGTCATTATGGATATCTAGATCCCGCACACTCTTGCTTCAGTTCAGTGTTAGCAGGTCTCAAAGCAGGCAGTGCTGACAATTCAAGATTTGTCATTTTAGGGTGGAATCTAGCAAGGTAAGATGCACTAGGAAATCCTTCAATACAGGTAGTCTTTGTTTAAGAACACAATTGGTTTGGGCAAAACGATCACTAAACGAATCACACAAGAGGGAGAGGGAAGAGAGAAAGGGAGAGAAAGGATGCAAAGATTGTTGGTTGCTGCCACTTGAGTTAGATAAAATTTCCTTGTTTCTTATGAAAAGCACAACAAGGCGCACAAGATGTCCTGGTCATCCATTGTGCTTAGTGCTATGTCTGATTGTCTCACCTTGGGACTCAGATGGGAACTGGGAAGAGAGAGTAAGGCTGACACTGTGCAACTCTCCTTCATTTAAATCAAAATTATGCACTAGTCTCAACATCATCATCTTGAAAGGAGTAAAAATAAAAAAGTCCTGCAGCTATGAGTGAGTGACAAAGTACTAAGCATAAATACACTGGGAGTTGTAGTCAGGGACCTGCACACATGCAACTCGGATCTAATAATCACTTTTCACTGACCAAAGCAGCATTGAAACCAGTACCTGCCTAGGTGAGTTAGCAGTCTTCTTTAGGAATGCACTGCTCACCTCCACAGTATGAGGAAGGGACTAGAACAGCTGCCCCAAACTTTGCCTGCTTTACTGCATCCTGGTCAGTTCACCACAACTAGTGGGGATCCCATCTTGGTGGTTGAACAAACATAGAAAAAGCACAAGATGATACCTCTCACCATTGTCACTTGAACATGTTCGTGCTTTTGGACAATCCTATAAGAGGCAGACTAGGAGAACAGCTTTAGTTGCCAGAGAGCTTGTAAGATACAGTGAGGGAAAACATTATTTGATCCCCTTCTGATTTTGTGAAATGATCAGTCTATAATTTTAATGGTAGGTTTATTTCAACAGTGAGAGACAGAATAACAACAAAAAATCCAGAAAAACACATTTCAAAAAAGTTATAAATGGATTTGCATTTTAATGAGTGAAATAAGTATTTGACCCCTTCGCAAAACATGACTTAGTACTTGGGGGCAAAACCCTTGTTGGCAATCACAGAAGTCAGGCATTTCTTGTAGTTGGCCACCAGGTTTACACACATCTCAGGAGGGATTTTGCCCCTCTCCTCTTTGCAGATCCTCTCCAAGTCATTAAGGTTCTTGAGCCACTTCTTTGTTGCCTTGGCCATGTGTTTTGGGTCATTGCCATGCTGGAATACCCATCCACAACCCATTTTCAATGCACTGGCTGAGGGAAGGAGGTTCTCACCCAAGTTTTGATGGTACATGGCTCCGTCCATCGTCCCTTTGATGCGGTGAAATTGTCCTGTCCCCTCAGCAGGAAAACACCCCCCAAAGCATAATGTTTCCACCTCCGTGTTTGATGGTGGGGATGGTGTACTTGGGGTCATAGGCAGCATTCCTCCTCCTCCTAACACGGCGAGTTGGATTGATGCCAAAGAGCTTGATTTTGGTCTCATCTGACCACAACACTTTCACCCAGTTTTCCTCTGAATCATTCAGATGTTCATTGGCAAACTTCAGACAGGTCAGTATATGTGCTTTCTTGAACAGGGGGACCTAGTGGGCACTGCAGGATTTCAGTCCTTCACGGCATAGTGTGTTACCAATTATTTTCTTGGTGATTATGGTCCCAGCTGCCTTGACAAGATCCTCCTGTGTAGTTCAAGGCTGATTCCTCACCATTCTCATTATCATTGAAACTTCACGGGGTGAGATCTTGCATGGAGCCCCAGACTGAGGGAGACTGACAGTTATTTTGTGTTTCTTCCATTTGCGAATAATCGCACCAACTGTTGTCACCTTCTTACCAAGCTGCTTGGCGACAGTCTTGTATCCTATTCCAGCCTTGTATAGGTCTACAATCTTGTCCCTGACATCCTTGGACAGTTCTTTGGTCTTGGCCATGGTGGAGAGTTTGGAATCTGATTGATTGATTGATTGCTTCTATGGACAGGTGTCTTTTATACAGGTAAGAAGCTGAGATTAGGAGCACTCCCTTTAAGAGAGTGCTCCTAATCTCAGCTCGTTACCTGTATAAAAGACACCTGGAAGCCAGAAATCTTGCTGATTGATAGGGGATCAAATACTTATTTCACTCATTAAAATGCAAATCAATTTATAATTTTGTTGAAATTTTTTTGGATTTTTTTGTTGCTATTCTGTCTCTCACTGTTAAAATAAACCTACCATTAAAATTATAGACTGATCATTTCTTTGTACAAAATCAGAAAGGGGTCAAATAATTTTTCCCCTCACTGTACAATGAGGCCTTGAGTGAGTCTCTTCTCAACGAATGTCAGCTGGCTGGAACTGAAGGTGGATACACTTTTTTCTGGAGCAGTCATGGCAGTGATGAGTGTCATGATGCTGGAGTTGGGTTGGAAGTGGTTGATAGAAGTCATTTTGTTTGGAAACATTGCAGTTACCATTATAGCTAACCTGATCAGTGCCTGTGTATCCCACAATAATCAACTCTGAGAGACAAAAGACAGATTCTATGAAGAATTAGATGACCTGTTCGCAGTTTGCTGGGTAACTTTAATGCAATAGTAGGTATGCTTCTGCAACTTGGCAGGGGAATCATTGGGAGACATGGAGTGAACAAGTGTGACAGTAATGGTCTACTCCTAGTGAAGACCTGTGCAGCCCACAACCTCATCACCAATAACCACTTTCTGTTTCCCTACTAGTAACACAACCTCCTGGGTGCACCTCCGCTCTAAGCTTGGCATCTTATTGATTATGTCATTGTCAGAAGGAAGGCAAGATTTCAGAGTAACTAAGAACCTGGTGCTGACTGTTGGACTGGTCCCAGACTCATTGTCTCCAAAATGAAGCTCCACATCAGACTCAAAAGATAACCAAAAGGAAGCAAGGCCATGAAAAGAATTAATGTGGTTAGGTGGAAAACCCCCAGCATGGCTTCAGCAGTGGCTGAAGACTTAGTAACTAAGCTTGCTGACCTACATCTTGCTAGCTGCACAAGTCTAGAGCTTTCAGTGCAATAACTCTACCTGTTTGCCCAATATGTGCCAGGACATTCCATGCCCAAATTGGCCTGACCAGTCATCATTGGACACACCACACTTAGTTTTAATGTAACCAATGGTGCTGAGGTCCTGATCTATGATGCCGGACAAACAATGCTAAATCTGCATGTAATTTTCTAAAACTTTACATTAGATATTTGTGACAAACCTGTAAAATATATTGATTCTAGATTTAATAATGGTAACAACACTGGGATGGTCAGCATTTGTGTCACTGAAAATTGTGAGTGGAAGAACTGCACATCAAGAAAAAATATGGTAGATATAAATATGATCTCACCTGAGGCTGCTGGAGTATTGGTAGGAGTTGAAACAGCAGCTTGATTTCGAGCATGAGCAGGTATGAGGATTGAAGCCAGAGATGGATTGCTTGACAATTCTAGAAGGAAGTTGAAGAAAGATCATTTATAACAAAGCACGATTCGATTACTTAATTTAGTAGACCTCCTGATGAAGCCAGGAATGTAAGGACGTTCTACGAAAAGTTCTATGATAATCATTACTGCCATGGAAGAATAGAGGAAGAAGGTTAAATCCCACCAGTGCTGCCAAACACCATGCTGTGAAGTATATGGGAAGGACAGAAGAATGCCAATATTGTTTTTTTTTAAAAAAATACTTTGCCTTTTTCTATTAAAATTGTAGATCATGTGCCACAATCTTTTTTCTCAAAAAACTAAAACAGACAGTCCATCATAAGCAAGAGACTAAAAATGTCATGAGAGCCAGTTTGGTGTAGTGGTTAAGGCATCAGGCTAGAAACTGGGAGACTCTGAATTCTAGTCCCACTTTAGGCACAAAGCCAACTAGGTGACCTTGGGCCGGTCACTTTCTCTCAACCCTAAAAAAGAGGCAATTACAAACCACTTCTGAAAAATCTTGCAAAGAAAACTGTAGCAATTTGTCCAGTTTCCAAGATTCAGAGATGGTTGAATTCAGGGGGAGGGGTGGTGGAAGAATGTCAGTCAGAAATATTATTTAAAATAATAATAATAAATTATTGGCAACAGCATAAAAGTAAAGAAGTTCAAATTATATTGGTTTACCTTGGCTTAGTTACTGTTACAAATATCTTAGTGAAGTTACGAAAAAGAGCAGTTAGCTCCTGGTGACTACATGGGTAAGTCCATGTTGTTTCTTGGTAACAATACAAAGGTGTTTAGCCATTATCTTCTTTTTGCATACTTTCTTTTTTACTTGCCTGCAGCCCGGGCTTTTACTCATGGATTCCCAGTTTTAATCCTGCTTAAACTTTCTCTAGATCAGTCAAGATTGGCTACCATGTTCTCTGACAACAGTGACAAGATTAACTTCCTGTATAACTGCAATCCACACAATTCCCAAGGCAGTTTCCAGAAATGGTTTGCCACTGCCATTTTCCAGGATATTTTTTTTCAATTTTATTACTCTAGCCAGCTAGATGGCATTTCAAGGTAATTTGCTATCTAGAGTGGGTTAAAATGCAAGGTTTTGGGGAGATAAAAAAAAATCAGACCAAGACAAATCATTTCAGACTTTTTTCCACCTTTAATATAGCATATAAGCTGTACAATTAAATTGAAAAACAAACCAAAATCTTTTAGCCTTTGCATGTGGAATGAAGCTTAGAGTTCTGGAAGACCTTCTCAATGACTGAAATTATCTATGCATTTGCCTCAGAATTGTACATGAACAGAAATGTCTTCTGTTGTTTACTAGTAATGAAAAAAATTCTGTCAACTTTTTTTATAACATTAGGATCATATATTATGATAATCAGCTTACAATATCTCTTAGAGAACTTAAAGGAAAAATGTTGCTTTACAAAAATTCTTTAAATGTGAAAGCAACAGAATCAGCATCTTACAAAAGCTTTGCAGCAGATTCTGATGCACCTTTTCACATTTTCTCAGCTGGAAGCAGCTCATTAAATTTTAATACCTGTGTTTTTGTATTTTTACTTTTTTCATTAAAAAATTACTATCATTACTATCAAACAATGGTCCTCAAAAATCACTTTTTAAAACTTTGGTTTGTTCCATTTGTCTTTGTGTGTTATCAGTAATTTCTTTCAGTGTTGCAAGATGCAACTTATTTACCCTCTATATTCTAACTCATTCAAAATAAATAATTATTCCCTGACCATGTTTTCATTAGTCTCAAGCTGCAATCATATTTCTTCATTAACTTCTTGCAACCTAGGGGGTTTAGGATCTCAGGGCCTGGGCTTTCGGTTGATGCTGTGTAACACCAGGTCCACGGTTAATAAAGCCCCCCTCATTTATGATTTGGTATCGGAGGGGGAGGTGGACCTGGCGGGTATTACGGAGACCTGGCTGGGCCAAGAGGGGGGGTGCCCCTCGTTGAAATGTGCCCGCCAGGTTACCGTGCATTTCACCAGCCGAGAGCCCAGGGTCGGGGTGGGGGGGTGGCGGTTAGGAAGGCCTGGATCCAAGGGTTGTGAATCCCTAGGTGTGAAGTGGGGTCATGGGAGGCAGCAGGGCGTGCTGATTGTATACCTGGCTCCCCGCTATGTATCAGCAGCCCTACCCGAGCTACTCAGTGTGATAGCCGAGATGGCGATTGAGACCCCCAGACTGTTAGTCATGGGGGATTTCAATCTGCCATCGTTAGGTGAAGCATCTGAGGTGGCTCNGCCATGGACCTGACCCAATTAGTAGATGTCCCTACCCACACCGGAGGACACACACTGGACTTAGTTTTTGCCTCCGGCCAGTGGCTGAGTGATCATGGTTTAGGGGAAATGGTCGTTGAGCCCGTCATGGTCAGATCACTCTCTCCTTCGGCTGGCCTTTCCTACCGCTACACCCCACCGCGGGGAGGCGGAACCAGAAGTGACAAAATGGTTCCGCCCCAGGCGCCTGATGGACCCTGAGAGGTTACAGCCGGAGCTTGGGCCAATACCTGAGACCTTGACCCGCGGCTCGACTGAGGACCTGGTGGCCGCCTGGAATGGTGCGGCCGCGGGGGCCCTGGACCGGGTCGTGCCTTTGCGGCCCCTCACCCGATGCCGGTCTACCTTGGCTCCTTGGTTTTTCGAGGAGCTGAGGGTGATGAAGCGTCGGAAGAGATGCCTAGAGAGGGCCACCCGCTCCGAATCCGATTGGAAGAGATGCCTAATTGGAGGGCCACCCGCTCCGAATCCGATCGGAAATTGGTAAAGTCCCATTTAAGGACTTACCTAGTAGCGATAAGAGCGGCGAAACGCAACTATTTCTCCGCTCTTATCGCGTCTGCAGGTAACCGATCTGCCACCCTGTTTAGGGTGTCCCGCTCCCTCCTTCATCAGAGGGTCCGGGATGTCCGTTTGCAGGGTCGGGCAGAGGAATTTGGGTGTTACCTGCATGACAAAATCGATCGGATCCGGGCCGGGTTAGCCTCCGATTGGACTAGTTCAGGCAGGCCAATGGAGGCAGGTCTTGAGTCCATTTTGTGGGAAGAGTTTGATCCTGTGACCCCCGAGGACATGGACAGGATGCTGGGACGGCTGAACACCAACACATGTTTACTGGACCCGTGTCCCTCCTGGCTGGTACTGGCCTCCCGGGAGGTTACACGAGGCTGGCTCCAGGGAATCGTCAACGCTTCTTTAAGTGAGGGGTTCTTGCCGGCTGCCTTGAAAGAGGCTGTGGTGAGGCCCCTCCTCAAGAAGCCCTCCCTGGACCCGGCTGCTTTGGCCAACTACTGGCCTGTTTCCAACCTTCGCTTTCTTGCGAAGGTTGTTGAGAGTGTGGTGGCACGACAGCTCCCTCAGTACCTGGAAGAAACTGTCTATCTAGACTCGCGCCAGTCCAGCTTCCGGCCTGGGCACAGCACGGAAACGGCATTGGTCGCGTTGGTTGATGATCTCTGGAGGGCTCGGGATAGAGGCTGTTCCTCTATCCTGGTCCTGTTAGACCTCTCAGCGGCTTTTGATACCATCGACCATGGTATCTTGTTGCACCGGTTAGGAGGGTTGGGGGGCACCGTTTTACGGTGGTTCTCCTCCTACCTCTCGGACCGGATGCAATTTGTGTTGGCAGGGGGGCAGAGGTCAACCTCGAGGCGCCTCACTTGTGGGGTACCACAGGGGTCGGTCCTCTCGCCTCTCCTGTTCAACATTTATATGAAGCCACTGGGTGAGATCATCCGTGGTTTCGGGGTGGAGTTTC